ATGGATCAAACCAATGGGAATAAAATTTTTTATTGAAACGAGGGTATTTTTTACCATATGCTTGGAAAAAAATGATAAGTCAAAATACTTTCTAAAAAATCTTTACTGTCATTGGTTTGGTCCATAAACATAGCTATAGACCCAGAGGCAAGTAATTTCCATTCAATTCAATAGTTTTACTTGTGATAATTTACTGAAAATATCTATTTTGTATTCTTATTTTTGTTTATCACTTGATAAAATGTGTTTTGAACAATTTGAAGTATAATAAAGGTATTAAAGTTGATGATATATAAACATATTTATTTCCTGTTCAATAAAAGCGGCTGTATGCTTTATATTTGAATTTACTTTATATTTAGTTCTAACAACATACACTTGCTAAAATAAAATGAGATTACTCTCTTATTAAAATAAAATAATTTGTATAATTATTCATGCATAATAAGAGAGTCTAAGGCTTAATTATTTTTTGAGATTTTCCCTAAATATTTTTTTTTCTAATTTTAATATGTATTAAAAATCAAAAGATTTTTTAAAACAATAATTACATAAAAATATTTGTGCGTAGAGCACATGTTAACAACTAGTCTATATATATACACTACAAATTAGTATATTTTTCTTCCTTTATTCGGCATTCTATTTTTCTTTGTTTAGAAATTTTTGAATTTTTTTTTATTTTTCTGTACTATGATTGGACAACTTAAATATATTAATTAATATTAATACAAATTATCCATATTGAATTATTTAAATTATTGAGTTTTATCCACCATAAATGGTTGAGTTTTATTTACCCTAAAACACGTATTTGAAAACATAGTTTATCTATATATATCTACGGGAAAATTTTGTTCCAAATACAATAATATATCTTCTGCTAGCAAAGATGTTTTTTTTTTTTTAGTTTATATGTGCAACACCATATACTTATATTCCAAATCCAATAATATACCTTCCAATAGCAAATTGGAGCCAAGGACAAAACATATTAGGTTTCAATCTTATTTTTATTATTTTTTATTTTATTTTTGATATGCATGCGGATGATTTATTTGAACTGATTATGAGTCATCTTCAGACTTATTGTATGTTAATCTTAAAACACTATTTAGTAGCCTTTGATTTTGCATTTGCTCAATGCCAAGTTGATTTGAAGGACACGGGATCTACCAAGGAACAGGTTTTGGTTTCATTACAAGCAGAGAGCCGGCAGTATAATATAATGTTATTGTAGTTTCCACAGTTTTTATTATAAACATTTTATTCATTTCAATAATAATAATAATTAACATTTCAAACGTTTTCGAGAAGCAGCCCGCGGATGACTTTAAGTTCGCTTTTGTAGAAGTTTGGCGGAATACTTTCTGGGCATGAGTTTGCTTCTGTAAGTGAATTGAGATTTTTGGTTGGTTTCGATTTTTATTATCTGTTATTATGGTTCTGCATTTGGGTAATTTTTATTTTATTTTATCATGAAGTTGCTATTGAAGAAGGTAAGACCGGTAAAGTGTAAATCCAAATCGGAAATCATTATTTTGTGTGTCTTTTTATTATGGTTCTTATTAATCTTTTTACTGTTTAATATTTTATTATGTATTGTTTTCTATGATTTTATTATTATTTTGATTATATAACTTCTGAAAAAAATAATTTATCTGTATTATTAATTATAAAATTATCTAATACGTAAAATTAGATTTTTATTAATTAGATTTTCATTAAAATAATTCAAAAGATCTTTCTTACGCATTGATTTTAAAATATTTTTTAAAACTTATTTAACTATACTGTAAGTTTCACATTATAAGTCATGTTGAATTTTCATTTTGGTGCAGACATATTAGAGAAGTAAGAGAGTAAGAAATAACACAATCGACTCTCTGAAACATAATAACATTTTGGCACAAAAGAACATAATCACAGGACAACAAGAGGCGCATCCTTTTCTTCTACTTTGGCAGGATCAGCAGTTATATTCTCCTTGTCCACAACAACAGGAGCAGAAGCAGCAACCACAACCTCCACCTTATTATGATCCTTCGTCTTCAAAACGGCACCAGAATCAACCGGAACAGGCTCAGCGTTTCCTCCACCTTCCTTTTCGGGCTCAGATAGATCAATCAAGGGTTGGTGTAGGTCAGTCTTTTCCTCACCTCCATTGTTATTAACATTCGTCTCTTGTTGTTTTTTCTCTCCTTCCCCTTTGTTCTCCGGAGCAGCAGCGGCCACACTCGTCTTCTCAGCCTCTTTGGGGCTTCTAGGAGAGACAGCATCTACATCCCTTGGTAAGGGTGCTGGAGGCTTCTTAGCAGAGTCTTTGGGTCTGCTCGCACAGCCGCCCATGATTTTATCAGCTAAGTGAAAATGATGGGCGAGCCTTGGAGAAGGGACGAAGGGTAATCAATTTAGAACCTGTGAAGTTCAGAAATGGAAATGGATTTAGGACAACTCCATTTTTATTTATAGAGGGTGAAAGTATTATATTTAGGAAAAATTTGTTTCTGTTGCCAATCGGTAGTACCTTCTCTTATGGACAGGGAACTTTCGTTGGACGCTTTTCTTGTTGGAGTCGTTTTTTTTATTTCTTAGTTGAGAATTAAGCATTTCTGTGGTAACTTTCTTGGCCATACATCTGGAGCAAAAACCAAAGGTTTTGATATGCAGACCAATCTTTAAATTAGTAAAAATTTGAAGACAGTTGAATAGCAGTTAAAAGTTTTTTTCCTTTTTTTTTTTTTTTTTTAGTTAAAAGTTTTTTTTTCCTTTTTTTTTTTTTTTTAATTTACAGTAATATCCAAATTAATGAAAAAATGTTTTTATAATTTTGTAAAACTGCAGGGAAAGAACAATTGGGTTTTTTTCCTTTTTTTTTTTTTTTTTTAATTTACAGTAATATCCAAATTAATGAAAAAATGTTTTTATAATTTTGTAAAACGCAGGGAAAGAACATTGGATATAATTTTATATAGTACAAAGGGTAATTGCATTTTCACAACCATATTGCCAGATAGAAACAAGTTATGTATAATCAAAAACTAAATATTCACCTCATCCATTTATTTCAAGTACAAGTAACATGCAAGTTCAAATATAACTTTATAACGGCAAAATTAACTATTTTGGTGGCCGTTAGCTATTTTAGTAACACTTATCTAATAGCAACTTTAATAACTTTTCATAAAATATTAAAAGATAAACATCACGTAGATTAACTTTTTACAAAGTGTTGATAACCTCTAAAAGCTACTTTAAACATGCTATGTTGCCATCCAATGCCGTAAGAGTTTTACAGTCCTATCCAGTGCGTCAAAGCCAAAGCTTTGTCATTTGGCCTAGAACATTCGTGAGGCAGATATTTTTTTGGCTAAAATTAGTTTTTAAGAGTTTTTGTAAATATTTATTTAGATTAAAAAACCTTTTGCAAAGTGATAAATCAGCAGTACTCTTATTGGAGGAAAATTGATGTAGAGTGTAAATGGGAAGCAAAGCACGGGAAATTCAATGTACACCGGTTCTCATTTTTGTTTGTTTTATTCATTTTCAAGCATTTTCCAATCTATTTTACTCAGTCCATTTCTTTGCTTTATACTAACTGTGTATTCCTCTCAATTGATGGCATGCAGTCTGTCACTGATTTTGTATGCCCTAAAGCCATACCATAACTTGTAATATACATTTTATGCTTTACTGGCAATTTAGGTATTTTTTTTGCATAAATAATGTAATTAATTAAATATAAAGCTATCATAGAAAATGATGACGGCAAACATGCAAACAACACAAAGAAAGCATAAAGAAATTAGACAAAGGAATATTATTTCTAGATTCTTATGGAAAATCTAGGATATTTTTCATGTCTCTCAATCAATCGTGTAAACAATCAAATAGAACAAAGTAAGAGAAGAGAAAAAAGGGGAAAAATATTTTATGCATTTTTGGTTCGCAACTCGAGTTTAGTTGTCGAGTCTGGTTGCTTATCTCATTGAAGAGGAATCAGAACCAAACAATTATTCCCATTATAAAATGAGAGTTTTAAAATTCACAAAAGTGTATTTTTGTCAATTGATGACTTTAGTCGTCGTTTTGAAAGAAGCAATGTCACTTGACCGGAAAATTACGAGTTTAAGAAAAAGATAAATGGCTTTATCGCTAATTTGAAGGGAAGCATTATTTTTCACTTTAGTCGCTATGTTTTGAAAAGAGAAGTGTTTTTATCTTTAGTCCATGCTTAAATTGAAAGTCATTTGGCTTTATTGAAAAGAAAGAGGTAAAAACATACATATCTCAAGATTATAGCAACATGCAATTCTCATCAAGGCAACATGTGCATCTAATCGTGGAAGCGATATACAAGTCCCAAAAACATGTATTTCACCATCGACGCAACATTCATGTCATATCAAAAGCTAATAATCTTACTTTAAAGGCATACATACGAAAGAGGTGGAATTGCAAACATTACATTATAAGGCATAAAATGTATATATATTGAAATCTAAATCATAAGATTAAGTACTAAATCTAATTGTGTTTAGGTTCTAGTCCTAATAATGTGTAATTAAATATTTAAATCCAAGCTACATTTAACTACTTTTTGTCTTTCAAATAAAATCTTGATATGTTATACTATCTTTTTGACTTTTTACCTCTGATTGATAGCAATGTTTTAATGAATGGAAGGACTAAATTGAATTTTTTAAAACTACAAAGATTTATTCATTTATTTTTGCAAACAAGAGGGATCAAGCAGTTAGTTTCACCAAACCAAAAGGACTAAATAGTGATTTTCCCTGCTAAAGATTTCTAATTCTTTCCTACAAATAAATAATTTCTCTTTGTCTTACAAAACAAGAAAAGAATAATTAAGCAATAAGCAAAGCAATGTATCTAAAGAGTTGAAAAAAAAAAAAAAAAAGAATTATATGGGAAACAAAAGTAGGTGAACTAAATGGTAGAAAAAACAAAGACAGACAGACAGACAGGCCAACGGTAACAGCTAGTAACGGACCCATCTGATATATACACAGCCTTTCAAACAGGAAAACCGATAAAAAAGAAAAAGAACATTTCAACTTCTTCGAGAATCAACGACGGATATATTTGTCCCTTCTCTTTCTCCGTCCAGTTTATTCTCTTTAGGGTTTCCTCCTTGATTCCTGAATTAAATCCAATCAAATTCATTTCCTTGATTTAACGGACACAATTCCGTAACTACATTTCTGATTTGATCATATAGAGAAGAAAGGAACAGGAATCATGATTCAGATTCCTTTCCCTTTCTCCGATTCCGAATTGCGTATGCCTATCGTCTTCTTCCTCATTCTCAGTCTTTGCTTCATCTCCGGCATCCATTCCGAGTCTGTCATCCAATTGCCTACGGACCGCCGGGACATTTATGATGTCGATCCATGCAGCGGATCGGAAAAACCTGCATCTTGCCCTGTGAAATGCTTTCGGACTGACCCCGTATGTGGTGCGGATGGCGTCACCTACTGGTGTGGTTGCGGGGAGGCCCGGTGCGCGGGGACCAAGGTGGTGAAAAAGGGCTTCTGTGAAGTCGGGAACAATGGGGCCGCCGCTCAGGCAATGCTTCTTCTCCACATTGTTTGGTTAATCGTGCTTGGTTTGTCAGTCTTGTTTGGCCTTTTTTGACTTTGTTGTTTAATTCATTTATTTGTATCTACTTGGGCATGTATGATTCTTTTTTTTTTTTTTCCTGATTTTCTTTTCTCAAATTTTGTATTCTGAGCTCAGAGGTGGAATTAATCGGCTACTGTTGTTGATTTGCTTACATTCTTGTATTGAGTATACGCCCATGACACAATTAATGGATTCTTTTCACCAATTTTAATTCTTTATGTTCTTGTATGTTCTTTACTTTCTTGTTTTTTGTATTGATGCTTCCTTGCTTGATATGATGTTGATCAATGAAAAATGATTATTTGACATTGTGTTTGAATTTTTTTTATATATATAAAAAAAAAAGAACTAATGCAATTGTATTGTTAGTGAATATGTGAATTCCTATTTTCTCTTTGCATTAGCTCTGCCTTTTCTTTCCACTTGGCACCATCTAATAATATGTTGAAATAATAGTATTAATTATCACGCTACAATTAATAATATGTTGAAATTATCAAACTAGTAATAACTTTATTCTATAGTATGTTTTGAAATTAAAATTCTTGCTATATTTTAAGCATGAATCAATTTTGCAGTTTGCATCTGCAGATGTTGTTATTGATTGAATTGGATCATATTAATAAAGGTTATTTGACAAGGCAGTTACAGTCTGTTTGGAATAAATGAATTCCACAAGATTTTATCGAATTCATTAGAAATACAAAGCTTTGTGTTTGGAATGAAAAAGATTCAGATTTGAATTCTACAAGTTCAATTATATAGAATTGGCTACAATTAACTAAAATTCTATTAAAATTGATGGAATTTCCAAATGAAAAATTCCTCAAAATTAAACCAATCAAAATAATATTGACAAAGTTATCCTTCATACATACTATCCAAAAACGAAGCTATACTCTGTCATCTCCTCCTCAGCAGCTGATCTCCTACTGAATCTCTTCCACACCCGCTCATCTCCTCCTCAACACATCTCTGAACTGCCATTCTCAGAACATCGAAGCAGCAGGTCAGTCGCTTTTGTTACTTTCTTCATAAATTAGGCTAAACGGTTCTCTTTTTTCTCTCATAGGATTTGATTGGAATGGAGGGGCTTTTGTGATGTTTGATAGTTTAATCAATGATGATATTGATTGGAAAATTTATGTTCTTAATTTTATTTACTTAATGGCGATCACGCTGATCGTTGAGGTTTTGATATGGTTTTAGGAAATTCCTTTTCAATATTGGTATTGATGATTCTACAGATTGATGTTTCTGTGGATAATTTGCAATTTACATGCAACTTTTCCACATCATGTTGTCATAGAAATACTAATTTTACAGATAATTGCTAATAATTCAACTTCTGTATAATCATATACCATAAATTTGCATTTGATGTGTACTTTTACTTGAGGATAATACAAATCATTTGACCAATGAAACTTTTTTATTAAGAATCCTTAGCAATGATACTTGAGAATGAATTGAAGGTTCATAATCTTTTGGAACTTCCTTGAATTTAACTTCAGCTACATATTTTCCATAATGAATTAGAGGTTTTTTTTGGCTTACAGCACTTCATAAAAAGAATGTACATTAATTTTCTGCAATTAGAACGACTTTTTTTTTTTTTATTCAAATTTGTACTTGGCTGAAATGGTTAATTGTGGTTATATTATAACTGGGATAATTGCCCTTCACACCTATCCCATCAATCATACTGGCAACAGATCTATTTTCTAGCAGCTTTTATTTAAATGGTATATATAATATATTACTAGCGGCACTTTGTTAATTCTCTGGTTGCTTGATGAATGATCAATGGCTTTTAATTTCATTTTGTCAATGATGGACAGTAGTTCTCGTAAGCTAGGTTTACACATACTTTGCAGGGTTGAGGTTGAATTCTTATTTCTAGAAATGAGTTTTGCTCAATAGTGCTTATGCAAATGCATTAACTGATGTAATCAGATGACAATAATGGTGATAGCTTGGTTGATAAATGGTTTTACTTGCATTGGATTGGGATTTGCAGTAGGTTTATTGGCTTCATTTTTAATTTTAGCAATCAGAAGATCTTGGAGTGGTATGTACTTTGTTATTGTGGATAAGAGTGCTAGATAGATTGATTAATGAAAAAAAGAAGAGCAATCATAAGAAAAACTCATCGTGGCTATTGAGATTTCTTTTCTACTAGTTTTAATTTTGTGTTTCTATGAATGAACTTTTTTTGATCGTAGTAAGGATTTTCTTGCTTGCAGCCTTGTTTATTGTGCTATCAATACAATAATCAATGTTATATTGTTTATTATTTAGCCTTTATATAATTTTACGTTATTTTGGACGCCTGTGCTTGTAATTGTTTATATTTGAATTTTAAAAAAAAAAAAAAAAAGCAGCTTACCATACTGTATATGATAAATATAATTGAAGTTTGTTATTTATTTTTATTTAATCATTATGTAAAAGATATTTTTAAGAAATAAAAGCAAATGAATTTATTTAAAACATAATTTCACGGATTTCAATGGAATTTTATATTTCCATATTACCAAAAATGTAAAATTCATTTTATATTTCCAGATGTGATTGTGTTTCGTGTTAACAACATCAAATCCCAAATCATTTTCTTAACGTCCAATACCGTCCTTCACAATCTCTGTTAATAAACCGTTATAACAATTGATATACTTAATGTTGCAAAGCCAATTTGAATCCAGAATAGCTACATTAGTTGATAAATGTTATGCCCAGGTGTCCTACTAGAAAAAGCTAACTAGATTGCCTAAAAAGAAAGAATTTTGAGATGAACATATATATCTAATTAACGAATTTCAACTCAACTAAAACAAACCATCCATTTATTTAACTGAAAATTTCAAACAAAATATTAACATTTATTTGTTATTTTGCTATTAAATTTTGTTTCCCTGCCATTCATCCAAGCCAAATAAAAATCTTTTCCACCTTCCTTCAAATAATAGATTCTGCTCACAATTTTAAATGGATAACATTTTTATGATTCCCTCTAAATTTGCCAATTGAGTTAACAAAAAAGGCAACCTACTTCACACATTCGCCATATGAAACTCTAAAAAATTTGGTACAAGAGAAAAAAAACAGCCATCAATATCAATGTTTACTGTATTCTATCAACTTTCCTTCCCTTTGAAGGATTCGGGAATTTTAATCCAAACTGATGTTAATAAATGGATAGCTAACAAAAACCCTAAAATCAAAAGTGGTTCAGTTCGAGGATGCGTTCAATGCAAACCAACTGTAGTATCCTAATCTCTTTTGTTGGGGCTCTGGAGCGAGAATGTTGGTTTACCATTTGCTTTGTCACCGGATGTACTTCCAATTGTTGTATGTTTATCCCTAGCTTCTCTAGAGGAAGCATTCTTGTCTTCTATCAACTCAGAAGTAGACCCGGAAGAATTAGTATCAGTCGAAAAATTGCCAAGCATGCTTTTGTACATAGTTAGTACTTGCGCAATTACATTAGCAGGATTGTTACTAGTGCTCGGAAGCAACAATGTTGTCCCCTATGAGAACATTGAAGTAAAAAAAACTCAGTAGACGCAAATCAATTTGCATATCAAATCCAACACTCAAGGACATAATTAATTTAATATGTCTATGCTTTACCTCTTTGGCAATGTTACCGAAGGCTTGAATATATTGCTCAGCAACTCTCAAACTTGCAGCCTGCAAATCACATAAAACAAATTGAACATGCATAATTGATTTCTTCATGCGTTTAAACTTCATGCCGTTAAACAACTTAAATCAAAAGTTAGGCATTACGCGAACTATCTATAAACTTTCCTTTGAAGAATGGATCTGTTGTTACTATTCCAAAATAACAAAACCCATTAAAAAGGGAAAATAAAAAAGTCTACCGCACTGAACCAATCATCAAATTTCCAACCCATTAACAAGGAAAAATAAAAAGGTCTCTCACACTGAACCAATCCTCAAATCTCCAACCCATTAACAATGCAATTTCCTGTGTGTAATGTACTTCCAACGCGTTTAACGTACTTCCAATGCACATGTTGAATATGTTGCAACATACTTCCAATGTGTTCAAATTAGAGGGTAGGTTCTACTTAGATTTTAGCAAATTCAATCCATTTAGTAAAGAGAATTTCTAATCAAAGGAGGCAGGAAAATGAACAATTCAATTCAAGTAGATGAAAATCAGGATGATTGCAGAAAATTCACCTCTACACCACCATTTTCCTTGAGAGACTGTGAAACCTTGGCAAGTCCTTTAGCAGTTGCTTCTGCTCTAGCAAGTATGGCTTCTGCCTCACCTGATAAAAAAAAAAAAAAAAAAAAAAAAAACCACCATTTTCCTTGAGAGACTGTGAAACCTTGGCAAGTTCTTTAGCAAGTTGCTTCTGCTCTAGCAAGTATGGCTTCTGCCTCACTGAATAAAAAAAAAAAAAACAAACAAAACAAGATTAAACCAAATATTTCTGCCTCACCTGATAAAAAAAAAAAAAAAACAAAACAAAACAAGATAAACCAAATATTTCATGCTCAACTCAACTGGTTATTTCATAATAGCTAATATGTCTAGAAAATGAAATTTTTAAGTATCTGCTAATTACTACGCAAACTAAAAGGCACAGTGACATGTGATTCAGAAGGAAGTGAAGAGAACCATCAACCTCACATGCAAGCTATATCAAATGCTTCAGTAATTTGAAGTTTAAATCCCATCTTAGAAGAGAAATTATCAAAGAAAATGCGGGAATGTGTTCATTTTACATTGACAACCAATGATTTTTCAAATCATGTCTTAGAGATATTACTTCCATCTCTAGAAGATACTGGTAATAGTTGATAAATGCATACAAAGCATCTAATCAGCAAAAATGGCATAACTAACCTAGTGCTCTGTTAACCTGATCCATCTTTGCAGCTTCTGATGCCAAGATCACAGCATTCTTCTTACCATCAGCAATATTAATGTTGGCCTGTCTTTCTCCTGTTAAAATGAAAAAATTGCATTGATGAAGAGTACAACATCTAAGAAATAAATTTGCAAATAAAGGAATACCAAATGAAATATTGCAACAGCTCACAATATTAAATGAACAAATTCCAATCGTGAAAATATCTAAAACCAACTTTACTACCTTCAGATTCAAGGATTTGAGCTCTCTTTTTACGCTCTGCTTCTGCCTGCATTTCCATAGCAGCCCTCACTCCACGAGGTGGAGAAATATCCCCTTTAAAAGAAAGTGCATTAAATTCCACATCATGAAAATGACAATAAAGAACTTAAGATAGGTAGTCAACTAAGATGAGTGCAACCCACTAATTTCATAACGAAGGCACTGAAGGCCCCAGTCCTTTGCGGCCACATTGATAGCCTCCTGTAAAAATGGGCCAAATAACTTACATCCTTTCTTTTATTAAATACTCAAACATTGATAGCAAAATATCCTTCTAAAGCAGTTCACAAAATTTGAATTATTTATGAAACAAGAATGTGAAGATACAAAAACAACTAAGCCTAAAAACCAACATACCACAATCTTATCATTAAGAGTGTCCCTTTCTTCAAACGTCTTATCAAGGGTAATCTTTCCAAGCTCACTGCGCATGGTGGTCTGAGCCAGTTGAATAACAGCATAGATGGGATTCTCCACGCCATAAGATGCCAATTTAGGATCCACAATCTATCAAAGCAAGTTATCACATGAGTTAATGATTGATTGACTGAGAAAAGATTGAGAAGAAAGAGAGAAGAGAGAAAGAAAACCTTGACATAAAGAACACCGTCAATGAGAATGCTGACATTATCCTTAGTTATAGCCGACTGATCAGGAATGGGTATTGCCTCTTCCTTCAAGGAGTGAACATAAGCAATTCTATCCACAAATGGGATCAAAAAATGGATTCCTGAGGGAAGCGTCTTCACATACTTTCCAAATCTCTCAATCACATATGCTTTCTTCTCAGGCACGATACGGATACCCCAATTTACAGGCGGAATAATCTCATAATAACTATACAATTTAATTAATTAATCAACAGACCCAAAAAGGAACAACAGAAAGCAAAGAAAAGAGAGGAAGAGAAGAATAGTGTACTTGGCATCGCGTGGGGAGCGGAAATGGCGTACAGCGGTGGCGAAAAGCGGAGAAGAAATAGTATTTTGGCTCCGAATCAACGGAGACGAAGGGGTTGCGAGAGCTCTTGAAGCCGATGAGTAGGTAAGGTAAGCAAGGGATCCAACTCCCTTGTTAACAAGCGAATTGCTTCTGGACATTATATGATTCATTGTCTTCTTCTTACACTGTATGATTTCCAAACCCAAAAAACTCAGAAGATGTGAAGAAATGGATTGGAAGGCTTTTATATTACGGAGTACTAAATCAATAAAGCCCTAATTAAACCTTTGTTATTTTTCTCATTTTCTCATTCTTTCTCTCCAAGTCATGCAACTCGCACTAACAAACGACTCACTTGGCTATATAAATTGAACCGAACTGAGACTGAATCGATTAAAATTAATGGCAAACCATGATCAATAGTTTTCGGTCATGACCATAATCGAAATCGTGTATTTATAGTTTGATTTTGGTTCTTCACTGTTTTTCAACGGTTCAAATTTGAAATTGATGGTTTCAATTTGAAATAGCAAAGAAAATATTTTTAAAGAAACTTCCAATATTATTTTTCATTTTACTACAATATTTGAAATAAATTAACACTTTTTATTAAATTGATTTACAAGTATCCTTAAACTAGTCGAAATCTCGTGTTTCATCTGTGAATACTATCTTTTTAAATTATGTTATATCTTTAGAAGTTTTTTCATTTGTGAATAAAAATAATTAGAAATATTCTAAATAAAGTTTTAATTATTAATATTTAATTCTTATTTATTTGAATATTCAAATATAAAATTAATTTTTTCAAGTCCTAGTATTCCTCTTTTAAAAATCAAAATAAATAACACTGTTTTTTACTAAGCATTAAAAAAAAATATGGATTTGCATTTTATCATTTTCAAACAACAAAATTTTCTTGAATTTCATTAGTAACAAATCGTTATTCCGCACTTTGCGTGCGCGGGTGTTTATATATTCTTTAAATAAATATTATTACTAATTATGTTATTAATTTAAAAAGTTGTGATTTTTGAATAAAATACTTAAAAATATATTAAATAAAATTTTAATTAATAATTTGATAAAATACTTAAAATATATTAAATAAATTTTAAATTAATATTATTATTTGAGATATAAAATATATTTTTATATATTTTTATCTCTTATTTATTATATTATGAATTTGAATTTGAGTTTGATCAAATATGATGATTAAATATAACATATTATCTTATTATCTTATGCACATTCAAAAATTTGTGAGTAGTTATAAGGATAATGATGTCAAATTTTTAATTAATCACTGTAAAATAAAATTTCATAAAAAATATTTAAAGTTCCAATCAAATCATTACAAAATAAATTCTCTTTTATACATGTAGATTGGCTTGTAAATATTTAATGCTCTCATTTTTCAGTTCTTCTCTCTCATTTCCTAAACTTTTCCTAGTTCATTCATGCTTTCATTGTACAAATAAATATTAATCTCATTTGCTTAATTTTGAAGCAAACTTACATTTTCTTGATTAATAGAATCAATTGTTTGTTATGGCCTCGGCGATAAAATTACGAGAATAATAACACAGCGGAAAAATAGAAATATGACACATAGATATTTACGTGGTTCACCCTTAACTGTTTAGAGTTACGTCCACGAGACAAATACCAAATATTTCTTCCACTATTAAAAATAGTAGGCTTACAAAGAGAGTAATACAGAAATAGTGGCATTCAAAAGTGTTTTTCAAAAACACCCTAAATTATCTTTAGTATTTTCTCTCCTCTAGTTTTAGAACCCTTTCTAAAATTAAAACTCTCTAAATCTCTTTTCTTTTCTTTTACTCTGCTTCTGTGTTTTGATGAAGTGAATTAACTCCTATTTATAGGAGAAGTGGACGCGTTAATCACGCGTCCACCGAAAAACAAATTGAGATCCACCGAAAAAATTTTCTTCTCTTCATTTATTTTCAAGCTGTGTGGATCCCACATGTCGGAGGGACCTACCACGTTTTCTTTTCTTCTCCTTTTTTTTATATTTTATTTTCAAATGTGGGTCCCATTAAGTGGGCACCGCCACAACAAATCTCCCCCTGCACACTCAAATGGGGACGTTAGCCATACCGGCTATCTTTCTGCAAGTGACAAGTTTCTCCGTAGGTAAAGCTTTAGTCATCATATCAGCGCCATTATTATCAGTGTGAATCTTTTCAATCTGAAATAACTTCATCTCCAACTAAATAACTTCATCTCCAAACGCATCCACATATCCAATGAAATGATACCTTACATCAATGTGCTTTGACCTTGAATGAAAGGTCGAATTCTTACTGAGATGTATTGCGCTTTGACTATCACATAGCAGAATGTACTTCTCTTGTTTTACACCCAATTCTTGTAGGAATTTCTTCATCCATAAGAGTTCTTTGCTAGCTTCTGTAATGGCGATGTATTCCGCCTCAGTGGATGAGAGTGCAACAAATTTTTGTAATTTCGATTGCTAAGAAACCGCTGCTCCTGCAAATGTCATCAGATATCCAGAAGTTGATTTGCGCGAATCAACATCACCACCCATATCTGCATCTGTGTAACCATCTAATACAGGTCTATTATCACCAAAACATAAGCAGAAGTGATTTTGGAAGTGCCTTAAGGATACCTGAGAATACACTTCACATGCATTCAGTGTTCTTTAACCTGGATTTAAAGGAAATCGGCTAACAACATAACCAGCATGAGCAATATCCGGTCCTTGTCTTGTGCATACCATGGCGTACATCAAGTTGCCAACGGCGGATGCATAAGGAATCTTCTTCAGTTCTTCTTTTTCTTTCTCACTTGAAGGACATTGACTAAGACTTAATTTGAAATGGCCTGCAAGCGGAGTACAAACTGGTTTTGCATTGCCCATATTGAATCTGCTAAGAATTTTCTCGATGTATTTCTCTTGAGACAGCCACAACTTTCTCCTTTTTCTATCTCTGGAGATCTTCATTCCAAGAATCTGGTTTGTCGATCCCAAATCCTCCCAAATCCTTCATGGCAAAGGATTTTCCAAGCTCCTTTTTCAAGCTCTCAATTTTCTTAGCATCATGTCCCACAATTAGCATATCATCCACACATAACAAGAGAATGATAAAGTCACCATCTTCGAACCTTTTTACAAACACACAATGGTCAGAAGTAGTTTTCTCATATCCGTGATTTACCATGAAAGAGTCAAACTTTTAGTACCACTGTTTGGGAGCTTGTTTGAGGCCATACAAGCTCTTCTGCACTTTACACACCAAGTGTTCTTTGCCTTTGACTCTGAACCCTTCTAGCTGCTCCATATAAATTTCCTCCTCTAAGTCAACATGGAGGAAAGCGGTCTTTACATCAAGCTGCTCGATCTCTAAATTCAAGCTAGCTGCTAAACCGAGCACAACTCTGATAGAAGACTTGTACCATTGTCTGGGAGCTTGTTTGAGGCCATACAAGCTCTTCTGCAATTTACACACCAAGTGTTCTTTGCCTTTGACTATGAACCCTTCTGGCTGCTCCATATAAATTTCCTCCTCTAAGTCATCATGGACGAAAGCAGTCTTTACATCAAGTTGCTCGATCTCCAAATTCAAGCTAGCTGCTAGACCAAGCATAACTCTGATAGAAGACATCTTGACTACAGGTGAGAAAATTTCTTCAAAGTGAACTCCTTTCTGCTAGTTCTCTGGTTCTCCCCCCTTGAGTTAACAAGTCATACTCATTAGGAGAATATCTCTAGGAAGGTATCCTGCCTCTCGCAGATCTTCGCAATTGAGGCAGTTCTTCTATTAGAGCTGGTTCAGCATCATTATGAATAGGTTCACCATCATCTTCTTCATTGTTTTGTGGTTCTACATGAGGTTCTGCATCAAGACTAACAGGAAACTCATTGATAGACTTTGGCTTGTCATTTTTCTCAAAGTCTTCAATGGTTTGGTCTTCCAGGAATACTACATCTCTGCTTCTGATGAGCTTCTTTTCAACTGGATCCCATAATCTGTACCCAAAACCATCATTTCCATAGCCCAAGAAGATATAGTGTTTTGACTTCGAATCAAGCTTGGATCTTTCATCTTTTGGAATATGAACAAAAGCCCTGCAACCAAATATTCTAAGGTGATCATAAGAAATATTTTTCCCTGACGACACCTTTTTTGGTACATCTCCGTTGAGGGAGGTTGAAGGTCAAAGGTTGATCAAGTAAACTGCAGTATTCATTGCTTCAACCCAAAAGGTTTTCAAAAGTTTAGCATGAGAGAGCATACATCTAACCCTTTCAACAATGGTCCTGTTCATTCTCTCTGCAAGTCCATTCTGTTGTGGAGTTTTGGGAACTGTCTTCTGAAGTCTGATGCCGTGTTCTAAGCAATACTTCTCAAATGGTCCTCTGTACTCACCATCATTATCAGCTCTAACACATTTTAACTTTCTCCATTTTGTTTATTTCAACACTGAATGAAAGACTTTAACATATCCAGCACGGTTGGTCTTTTTGACTTTATTGGTAAAGCCACACACACCTTTCTAGAATGGTCATCAATAAAGCTGACGTAATATGAACAACCACTTAAGGATTTGTCACCCATTGAGCAAACATCAGTGTGTACCAATTCTTTTAAAGCTATATCGGATTTCAGCTTGTGTATTAGTGTTTGTAGAAAACTAATGCTGGACCCTGTTAAAATCAAATCATCAACATACACAAGGCAATAAGCAACATGAGATTCATGTGAGAAAATAAAGAAGGAGCTATCTGCCTTGGAATTCTGAAATCCAAGCCGTTACAAAGCTTGAGCTAGACAAAAATACCATGCTCGAGGAGCCTGTTTTAACCCGGACAAAGATTTGTTTAAGGCACACACATAATCAGGCTTGCTATCATCAATAAATCCTTGGGGCTGCTCCATAAAAACAGATTCCTCTAGTTTTCCATGCACAGAAAAGCATTGGAACATCAAGTGACGTATAGGGCCTGCCACTACTAACAGCAATAGATGGAAATTAATCCGAATAGTAGCCAGGTTTATAACTGGACTAAACATCTCCAATGTTAATCTATCCCTGGGGCGTTGGTTGAAAACCTTCGCAACTTAAGCGAGCTGATAACATTCAACAGACCCATTCTGATTGTTTTTGTACGATAAATCCATTTACCAGCCCAAAACAATATTTTGAAGCATGAGCGCGAGGGACTAAATCCAAGTACCATTTGGCAAAGAGAGCATCAATTTCTTCAGACATTGTTGTCTCCAAAATCGAACATTTTCGGCTTCTGTATAAGAAGTAGTGTCTAGGTGTCACAGAAAGAACAGAAGTG